GTAGGCGGCAAGGACGACGACGGCGGCGCAGACGGCGCAGAGGACGACGAGGATGAGACGACGGCGACGACGCCGCCGACGACGAAGGCGACGACGACGAGGACGACGACGAGGACGACGAGGACGAGGACGAGGACGAGGATGAGGACGAGGACGAGGACGATGACGACGACGACGACGGCGGCGGCGGCGGCGGCGGCGGCGGCGGTGGCGAGAGCGCCGGCGGCGGCGGCGACGGCGGGTGCCATCTAGGCTCGGGCCCAGAAGGGGGTCCCCGTGTGACCCCTTGTTTGTATGATTACAAATAGTTTTGTCAATCGATTTCCGATCGACTGGAGCGCCAGTGATTATCAGGCTACTCACCATACATGCTCATCGTTTTTTCCAACTGTCTCTACTTCTTCATTCCTCACCTCCTCCTCCTCCTCCTCCTCCTGCAGTTCCTGAACATCCCCTGTTTCGTTTTCATGTTTCCGATTCTCCTCAGCCTGTTCTTTTCATCATTCGCTCCTTCCTGTCAGCGTCGCGCCGCGACGAGGTTCTTGCCCAAATACAACGACGTGCCCGCCAAAGTGGGAAACACCAAACATGGTACGGAAGCGAACCAGGCGAAACAAAGCAAACACGCTGACTACAAGGCCAAAGACGCCTTCAACAACTCCTGTTCCAGCCCCGAAAAGCGGTGCTTGATGGCGGAGGGCGCCCGCGCGGCCGCCGTGAAGCTCAAGAGCCGCCTTGAGTTGGCGGCTAATGAGCACCAGACCGATACAGACAGCATCAGGATCTTGTGGGCCGTTTTCAAATTTCCAGCAATTATATGTTTAACGTGTGTTATTCGAAAACGAATCACCCGCGACGCCATTCTCCGGTGGAACCTATCAATTCAAAATCATGTTGGCGTGGACATTGCATTGGGTATGCACCGTTTTGAGTACGTGGCGCGCCGCTTTTTCGAGAGGCCGAGTCCTCGAGGTTATCGCCTTCGCTTTGCCGTGGCCGCAGTAGAGGGGGAAATCATGGACGACTTCTTGTGCGGATAGCCTGAGCATGTACCCAGTTGCCAGATAAATGCCCTTATAGTGGACGGGGCCATCTCAAGGGTCCAAGGGGCGAGCTTGCACGATCTCCCAAGCACCTGGAGAACGGGGGGTCTAATCGCAGCGTGTCCTCCTCGACTGACAAGTTCGACGGGCTCGGCAGCGCGTGGAATAAAAGCCGCGGACCTCAGCGTTTGCAGGGGCAGCCAGAATCGCCGGCGATGCCCCGCACTGCCCCAATCGCCACTTCCACCGCCTTGCATTTCTCGCAGCCCACCATTGGCATCACGAGCAAAACCCTGGTCTGGGGGGCGCACTGGTCGACGGGCGATGGCAAGTATGAGCGTGGTCAGGATGGAGCAGTCAGAAACTACGTGTTTTTCTTCTCTGGTGCCCGACAACTTGGCGGAGGTGTTTACTATGAGCCGAAGCGCAGACCTCGCGCGTGATCCCGCCAGGGTCGGCAATTGGAGGAACAACACAGCGCGCCATGTCCGCGCCCGCGTTCTCTTCGACTTTCGCGGCCCTCGGTGCGCCGCCGACGGCCAGGGAATCATGATTGCCCGCAACCATCACGTCACGCCCTGGTCATTGTTTCCTGTGACTTCCTTCACGGGAGGTCGCGCTCATAGAAGTACTTGCGTGTTCGGGGTCGCGTCGCGGAGCGCCTCGCATCGCATGGCCGCGGTTTGTGTTACGTGATCCCAACCATGATTATAGTATAAGTGGCACATTTACAAAGTTGGCATCCAGGTGTCCGCTACTGACAAGATGGCGCTCGTCGACGCGTTGCGCGCCCGCGAGATGTCCTTCGACTGCTCATGCGGTTGCACTTTCGCCGCGGTTGGGCAGAGGAGCAATGGAAAGAACAAGAAGAACAAGTAGAAGAAGCGCGAGGCCGACCGCTTCGAATTACATTGCGCACGCGCGATGATGGCGGATGGCGCCCCAGTAGTTGCCAAGCCAGGATGCAGCAAAAAGGGCCCCGAACTGTCTGCTCGCATCCAAACATATGCCACTTGAATGCAACAGCGTCAAGCAGAAATGTTATTCTTGATGTCCCAAAGAAATGGAGCGCGCGGACAGCGCGGACGATCTCCCCGAATCTCAAATGCGCGGGCGCCCACCCCCCTGCGCGCGTGGATGGGCCTCGCGAGGTTCACCCAGGAGGGCGGCCATCTGAGCAGATATTCCAAGGACATCGTCTTGAAGCTCAAGGGGGGGGGCCTCCGCCGAGTCTAACGACATTGAGCCACTTCGGCGCGTGCCAGCCCAGGGGCTGGAAGCAGAGCGTTTCGAAACGCTCCCCGCTGAGCTTCGCGCGGCGTGCGAGCGGTTGCAGATCGCCTCTTACCGGGGCAAGACCCCCGCGTGGGAGTTGTCATGATGTGACTGTGCCAAGGAACTGCGGAAGTAGCGTGGCTGTTGTCATGTTCGCTGGTACAAAACACGCAAACAGTGACAGCCACATGTTGTCTTTCCATCATTTTCCATGCGACAGCGCATGTTTTTGAGGGTGTGCGTTTTTCCCCCCGTCGTTCCTAACTCTTCCTTGTTTGGTCCCGCCGCCGCCGCAGGGCCTTTTTTTTTTTCTGCGCGGGGGGACATCCTTACAGTTGCAATGGAGTTGTTAATGGAAATCGTATGGGTTGTATTTTTGTGAGTTTACAGTTAGTTGCGGAGCTTTCCTTCTTTATTATTACTATTATTATTGTTGTTTTTTTGGATTACGGCGGGCATTGGTGGCGACGCCCTGAGGCCGCGGAGATTTATCGAAACAGGGCAAACCGTACAAAAACCTGTTGTTGTCAAGAGGATCATTAGAAACGTTTGGAGAAACATGTGACGGTTGCTATTTGCACGGGCGCAGCACAAAAGAAACAGTGACAGTCATAAGCGTTCTTCAGGTTTTTTGCTGAGCTCCCCTTGTGAAAGCACATGTGTTGAATTGTCTGCTTTTGTTTTCCTGGTAAGGTTCTGCGGCCGCCACGGCGCTGCAGCTGGAAGGTCGGACACGTGGAATCATTTTGCAACTTGGAATCACGTTAACTTTAAGCGCGGCGGCTTACAACTTCGATTCAAGTTTGGAGCTTGTCAAACTGTATTTAAGTGTGGTGACTATGACTGGCGACGGCCAGAGGCCGCGGAGACTTACCAGGAAAACCATAAAGTAGCCAAGAACACAAAAGCACACAATTATGAAACTAGCGAAGGCGTGTGTGTGTGGTTGCTGCTTTTCTATGACACAGCACATGAACACAACGACGGTCATAGGTGTTCCCAAGTTTGTCTGTATTTTTCTTTTGTGATGGCACACGTGTTTTCTGTTGTTTCTGGTTTCTCGTTGTCCTGCTAAGTTCCCGCGGCCGCCACGGCGCTGCTTCCGGAAAATCCTCAGGATTGAAGCCAATGGCTAAATGGGAATCGGATCGGTTCGGCTTATGGGTTTTGCGCATTTATTTGGATCGTGAGGTTTCAAGTGCCATTTACATGGTGGGGGGCGCCGTGGCAACATTACGATACAGCTGGTTCTGGATATCGGATTCTGCAGGAACCGACGCGCAAGTCCGCTTAGCCGTATACATGATGTAACTATACATACACACATACATACATACATACACATGCAAATGTTCAGACACACTTGCTTACAGCGAGCGCTACATGTCTGTTAGCATACCAAATAACACTTACAGGGGTCCCCCCCCATCAGTGGCTTTGCGCGCTGGGATTTGGCCGCCCCACTATGAATACTTGGCATCGCTCGGACATGTGCGTTTTCTTTTTGCGGGGACCATCGGGGAGCATCCTCGATCACCTTGTTGAAGTAAGCGCACGGAGCCCAAGAATTCACGGGGAATGGACGTCCGAGCGACGGCAAGAAGAGGAAAAGGCTGCAGAGACGTACACTTCCGGAGCTCCGCGCGGATGTCTTGGATTGGCGCCGGGCCCCCCATCCTTGGGGGGCCCGGCGCCGATTCAGGAGGTTTCTGCTCCTGCCGTAGATTGGTCCCCCGCTGTGGTGCTTGAGGCCGCCTTTGCGCTCCTCATGACGCAGACCATTTGTGGCTGAGGCCTCCCCCCTTCCTCCTCCTGCGCGGCCGCCCCCTCCACTTCCACCTCGCCGCTCTTCCTCCACGGCCGCCCCCTCCACTTCCACTTCGCCGTTGTGCCCATAGCGCGGCGCGCCCCGCCGGCTGTCGAACGCGGTAGCGACCGCCAGTGATGCGGACGCGAGGTTCCACCAACATTGCCCCTCGAAGCTCGAATGGGGGGCTCGGCTTAAGAATTGTTTTACCCCAAAATTGGTTTCCCCACCGAGTCTACGAAACACATACGCGTAAGTTCCTGTGGATCCACGGAGCTTCCACGCGTTTCTGGTGTACTCGGTGGGACAATCAGCTCTGCAGTGCATGAATTCTGTAGTTGGTCCCATATTTGAAAAAGAAGGAGAGAAACAAACAAACAAAAAAAAAAAAACGCGCCAGTGGGGCACTCTTGGCCACGGGCCGCTCCCCTGCGTGTGGCCGAGCGGCGGCCGCCGCCGGCAGGCGGGAGCGCTGGAGAGGTGCATGCAGGGCCTGGACAGGGGGGCCGCCTGGCCGACGGAGGAGGCCCGCCGCCGCCGCTGCTGCCGTCGCCGCCGCCGTCGCTGCGGCCGCCGCTGGCGTCGCCGCCGTCGGCCGTCGCCATCGCCGCCGTCGCCGTCGAGGTCGCCGGGGACGTCGTCCGCTTCTCCTCCGCTCCGCGCCCCTCCGACCTCCACCGCAGACCTCCAGAAGACCTCCTGCAATCCCCAAGCCAAGATCCACACGTGGCGAGGGCGTCGTCGATCTCGACGGCGCCGCGGGCGTCGCGTCTGGTCGCGTGTTTGAAGCTGCCCAGGAGCGCAAGGGGGCCGAGTGGCCGGCGACGCGCCGAGGAGGGGGGATGTCAGAGGGAGGGGCGGGCCTCCGCAGAAGGCTCAGAGGGGCGCCAGTCTTCCGAGGAGCTGCCCGAGCTTCCGCCGAAAGACAGAGGCAGTGTCTCAGAAGCCGGGGGGTCTTCTGATCGGCGATTTGGCTCCGTCACGTGATGCGAATCGGAGGAGGAGTAGGAGGAGGAGGATATAAAGAGGAGGAAGAGGAGGGGGATCTAGTGGAGAGGGGGGAACTTCGCATCACGTGACGAATTCCCTCTACCTATCTGAGGAGCCCCGCCGCCCTCTGAGAAGGCCTGCCCCCCTCTCACTTCCCCCACGGCGCGCCCCAGAGCGCAGCCGGCCGCGGCGGCCCACCGGGGTTTTGGGCCTACGATGCCCGAGCCAGTTGGAGGAGCTTCGCACGAGCGACGAGGATAATCAGCACCGTCCATCTTGTATCCCTCCTTTCCTGGGTGTGGCATCTCACTAGGCCATGGTATCTCAGCCACGCAAGCGCACCATACCCTAACCCTCACTGGGCTAACGGAGGATGACGATTAATAAATGACCGGGGGTCGTGTTCACGCGGCGGCGCCCGGGATGACGATTAGAAAAAACCGGCCGCGGGCTGGAAAACTATTGTTTTAATCGTCCTCCTCCAGTCAGAAAATTGTGCAGAAATAACAGGAAACTATGTTTTTAATTGTTCTCTCCCATTTTTGTATTAATCGTCATCCCGCATTACCCTGGCCTCACTGGGCCATGGTATCTCAGCCACGCCAGCCCGCCCTCTCCCAGGTGGAGAAGACCCCGCGAAGCCCAGACGAGCAGGCGTGTCGTATCACCTGGGTGGGTCGGGTCGGCCAGGGGGGCCAAGGCCACGTCAGTGGGGACAGGGATCCGCTCAACGATGAACAAGAAATATTGGCGGCGAGCAGAAGGGGGTAGGGGGAGGGGGGAAGGCTTCTTAGAAGGAGGCTGCTTCTTAGAAGGCGCCGGCCATACATCTACAGAGAAGGCCCGCACCTGCTAAGAAGCAGGGGTGCTTCTAAGAAGCCTTCCCCCCTCCCCCTGCCCCCCTCTGCGCGCCGCCAAAAAGAACAAGGAGAAGAAGCAACAACACGCATCGGGGCCCGACCTCGCGTGCACTGGCGCGCAGGCTGCCCGCGCCAGGTCGCGCGCGGGCGCCTGCGCGGGCCACCGCGTGTCGCCCGTGCCGTCGTGCGCTCACGACGTCCGCTGCGAGGCGGGCGCTGCTCCACCACCACCGCCCGGGCGTTCGATACTCAGGGACCTCGGCAGGCGGTGGACATGTATATATTCGGGCCCTGGGGAGCAGGAGGAGGAGGAGGAGGAGGCGGAGGAGGAGGAGGAGGAGGAGGAGGAGGAGGAGGAGGAGCAGGAGGAGGAGGAGGAGGAGGAGGAGAAGGCGGAGGAGGAGGCGGGAAGGGAGGGAGGAAGGGAGGATCAGGACGGACCCGCTGTTGGGTGAGGAGAGAAGGGGAAGGAGAAGAAGAAGAAGAAGAAGGAGAAGGAGAAGAGGGGAGCCAATTATGGCAATGTCCACCGCCCACCGCGGCCCCCTGAGATCGAGGCCTCAACGATGCGTGTGGGTAAATCCCCGCTTTGCACACCCTTTGCCTGCGTCGCTCACGTGCCTGCCCGTTTGGGGCCTGCGGGAGTAAAAGATGCGGAGGCCGGCGGAGGTAAGTGACTCGGGCCGGACGAAAGGGGGGGATTGGGAAAGGGAGGGTTACGAAATTTGCTGCGCGCAGCTGGTTTCGGCCCCGCCGCCGGGCCCATTCCTCGACACATAGCCGCCTCCGGCGCAGGGAGGCGCCGCGAAAATCAGCTACGTGAGCTGATTCTCAACCCCCCCCTTTGCTATCCCCCCCTTTCGCCCGACCCGAGTGACCCGCCCCCGAACAATGATGGCAACATGTTGGGCGGAGGGTTTCCGGGTTCCGCCACGTGCGGGCCTCACAGGGGAGCCATCGCCACAGATCCCGACGGCCTGTTCTTCGTCGTGTGATCGTCTGCCTGGCCCCGAGGGGCAGGGCCACGGGGCCATCGGGGCTGAAGAGACGGGGGTCCACTTCAAACGGGGGTCAGCCACAGCGTTGGTTCTTGCAGGATCCTGCAGAGCCATCACCGAGAACAGAAGAACCCCTAGCCTTGATAATAACACAATATAGACGTGGCCTCACTCAGGTCCCTGTCTGCGCATTAGAGATTAAAACATCCGGACGGCTTGGTTCGATACATCCGCAGAAAAGAACAGAACCTCTATCCATAATGTTTTTGGTCCTCCTAACTTAAGTCCCCTCCCGAAGGGTTCGGGTTTTCTTGGTTACTCAAGCCAGGGTCACGCTGAACCGGGCTAGGGCGCAGGATCCTGCAGGATCTCGCAGTGTCCTGCAACGCCCGACCGGCCCAGGTTGGCATCGACCCAGGTCAGTAGATCCACGCGGGTAGGAAGGGGCCGGGCCTCCCGGTAGAATATGCACGTCTGAGGGCCTTCTCGTCTTGGGCCCCCCCGTCTCGGGGCCCCATTTTGGAAGCGCCGACTTCGTGCGCCCCGCCATCCGGACCGTCAGAGAACAGCTCGGGATGAAAAGCCGACCCGGATCAATGGGTCGAGATATTCGGAAGGTGGTAATGGGGGGAGACTTCATCAAGGCCTCCCAGATGGGGTCGGAGTAGATGGGGTCAGCGCATCGCGCCGCATCGCCAATGCATCGCCGATGCGGCGCGATGCGGAGCCCGATTTTGTCCACGCCGGCGTCGCCGATGCATCGCCGACATCTCCGATGTATCGTCGATGCATCGTCGATGCATCGCCGATGCATCGCCGATGTGTCGGCGATGCGGCGCGATCCTCCGACACCAGCTACTCTGACCCCATCTAGGAGGCCTCTGATTACGGCGTGGGTGAAGAAGAGGCCCCTGAAGGGGCCCCTTCGAGTCCTTTTTGGGCCTTTGCTGGGGGGGGGAGGAGAAGGAGAAGGAGGAGGAGGACGAGGAGGAGGAGGAGGAGGAGGAGGAGGAGGAGGAGGAGGAGGAGAAGGGGGAGGAGGTGAAGGGGAAGAATTAGGAGGATGAGCAGGAGGAGGAGGATAAAAGGCCCCTTTAGGGCCCTTTTCTTCAGCCCCTATTTGTCCCACCCCATTACCACCCGCCCGAGATACCAGGGAGGGGGAAGGTCACGCAAAACCGCAACGGCAACGCAACGTGCAAATTATCTTGGCGAAGGGCCCATACATGTGCAGTTGTGAACATCGCCGTTGTAGGTATCGCCTGCGGTGGATCTCCTGATGGGGCTACAGAGCGTGCAAACGGTTTGCCGAAATGGTGAGGGGACGCATGCGGGCGCAGCCGTTTGGGCCTTCGGTGGTGCTCCAAATGGGCCCACGAAACGTATGAGGGGTGTGCCAAAGATGAAGCGGGGCCGCCATGCGAACGTCGCCGCTGGGGTTGCCGGTGGACTCCCTGTAGGGCCACAAAATACGTGAGTGGTGCTGTATGCTGACATGGGCGCGGGGGAGGAGGGGGCGCATTCGAACGTCGCGGCCGGGGTCTTCGGTGGAGCTCCGTATGTGGCCACGATACGCGAGATCGGTGTGCCAAAATGGGCGGTGTGGGACGCATGTGATCACAGCCAGCGGGGCCTGCGGTGGAGCTCCCCATGGGACCGCGACGCGCTGTACTGGGTGGTGCAGACGCATGTGGTCACGGCCATTGGGGCCTTCGGTGGAGCTCCCTGTGGGGCCGCGAACTGCCGTACTGGATGGCGCGGGCTCCAGTGGAGCTCCCTCTGGGCCACGAAACGCCGTACTGGGTGGCGCGTGACGCATGTGGTCACAGCCACTGGGGCCTTCGGTGGAGCTCCCTATGGGGCTTCGGAACGCCGTACTGGGTGGCGCGGGACGCATGTGGTCACAGCCACTGGGGCTTGCAATGGATCGCCCGTGGGGCCACGGAACGCCGTATTGGGTGGCGCGGAACGCATGGTCACAGCCATTGGGGCCTCCGGTGAAGCTCCCTATGGGGCCACGAAGCGCCGTGTTGTGCTGTGCGGGACGCATGTGGTCAGCCACTGGGGCCTTCGGTGAAGCTCCCTATGGGGCTTCGAAACGCCGTACTGGGTGGCGCGGGACGCATGTGGTCACAGCCACTGGGGCTTGCGATGGAGCGCCTATGGGGCCACGGAGCGTCGTATTGGGTGGCGCGGAACGCATGTGGTCGCAGCCGCTAGGGCATTCGGAGGAGCTCCTTGTGGGGCCACAAAGCGTAGTACTGGGTGGCGCAGGACGCATGTTGTCACAGCCACTGGGGCCTTTGGTGGGTGTGTCCACGAAGCGCCGTACTGGGTGGCGCGGGACGCATGTGGGCACAGCCACTGTGGCTTTCGGTTGGGCTCCCGATGGGTCCACGAAGTGCCGCACAGGGTGGCGCGGGACGCACGTGGTCACAGCCACTGGGGCCCTCTCAGAGCCCCTCGTGGAGCCACGAACCGCAGTATGGGGTGGCGCGGGACGCACGTAGCCACAACCATCGGGGCCTTCGGCGGAGCTCCCTATGGGGCCACGAAGCGCCTTACTGGGTGGCGCGGGACGCATGTGGGCACAGCAAGTTGGGCCTTCGGTGGGGCTCCCTGTGGAACCACGAAGCGCCGCACTGGGTGGCGCGGGACACATTATCACAGCCACTGGGGATTTCGTTGGACTTCCCTGTGGGGCTACAGAGCGTAGTACTGGGTGGCGCGGGACGCATTGGGTCACAGCCACTGGGGCGTTCGGTGGGGATCCCTATGTGGCTACGAAGCGCTGTACTGGGTGCGCTGAAATGGTGGACATGTGGAGGGCAGATGCGGGGATGGGAGGAGGGAGGAGGGGGAGGAGGAGGAGGAGGAGGATGAGGAGGAGGAGGAGGAGGAGGAGGAGGAGGAGGAGAAGGAGGAGGAGGAGGAGGAGGCAGAGGAGGGGGAGGAGGAGGAGGAGGAGGGGAGGAGGAGGAGGAGGAGGAGGAGGATCGCGGGGCGCTGTCTCTTCAAAACGAGGTCCCAACACTACAGGATGCATGGGGCGAAACAAGAAGCACAAACAACACGTGGGGACGATAGAGCGCAGCTTCAACATGCTGGCCAGGGTGGACCCGGGAGGCGCCCAGGGACAAAGTATGAGTAAATGTCCAGATATCCGACGGTTTGGAGCAACAAGGCAGGGGAGTTTTGCGATTCGGCGCCTGGGAGCTGCTTCCTTGACATCGCCCGGGCGTGTGCATTTTTCGGCAGTGACCATCGAGGAACATGGTGGGTCATCTGGCGGAAAAATATTCGCACGGAGCCGAAACATGCACGGGAACTGGTCGTCCGAGCGATGGCGAGCTTCTGGTCCCAGGGCATGATCCTGGCGAAGGACCCAACACGATGCAGTTCTGGGTACCGCTGTGATACGTATCCTCTTCGGTGGGGTTGCCCATGGGGCCACGAAGCGCCGTATTGGGTGGCGCGGGACGCATGTGGTCACAGTCATTGGGGCCTTCGGTGAGCTCCCTATGGGGTTTCGGAACGCCGTACTGGGTGGCGACGGACGCATGTGGTCAGAGCCACTGGGGCCTTCGGTGCTGATTCCTGCGGGATCACGAAGCGCCGAGCTTGGTGGCGCGGGACGCATGTGGTCTCAGCCAATGGCGGCATGTTTTGTCATGGTCTGCGCAGTGTTTGCTGCAAACACCGTCCGCTCGTGAGAGCGGCCCACGGGGCCACGGAACGCCGTACTGGGTGGCGCGGGACGCGTGTGATCACAACCATTGGGGCCTTCAGTGGAACTTCCTATGGGGCCACGAAGCGCCGTACTGGGAGGCGCGGGACGCATGTGGTCACAACCACTAGGTTCTTCGATAGGGCTCCCCATGGGGCCACGACATGCCGCAATGGGTGACGCGGGACGCACGTGGTCTCAGCCAATGGGGCTCTTGGTGGAGTTCCCAATAGGGCTGCGAAACGCCATAGTGGGTGGCGCGGGACGCACGTGGTCACAGCCACTGGGCCTTCGGTGGGGTTCCATATGGGGCCACGATGCGCCGTACTGGGTGGCGCGGGGCGCATGTGGTCACAGCCACTGGGGCTTTCGGTGGAGCTCCCTGTGGGGCCACGGAACGCCGTGTCAGGTGCGCTGCGATGGTGGTCATACGGAGATCAAGGGCAAGGGTGGGAAGGAGGGGGAGGAGCAAGCGGAGGAGGAGGAGGACGAGGAGGAGGAGGAGGAGGAGGAGGAGGAGAGACGAGGATGAGGAGGAGGAGGAGGAGGAGCCCGTGTCGCGGGGCTTCGAGCTTGCCGTGCAACGAACCCCGAAGGGGCGCCTGGACGCGCACCGCGGGCATTTGGCCCACCTCTGTCTTACGATTCCGCCAGGACTGAAACAGTCCATCCAGTCGCCGCGCTGCGCTGCCATGGCTGCCACGGCCTCGCAGGATAATGAAGAACTTGAACGACGGCAACGAGCGCGAACCGACCAGGTGGGCACGGAAGAGTTCGATGCCCTCCGCTCGCAGGCCACACCAAGAATCACATGTTGGAGCCCCTGGCAATCATGCTGGCGTCGCTCTCCGCCCCTTTCCGCCTCCGCCACCAGCGGGATGGACGCTGTGGAGGAGAAGTTCGGGCTCCGCCTCAGCTCCATGGGGAAGCGCCAGGACACCTAGGAGGAGCGCGACGACCATTTCGAGGCGCATATCACCGCCCGCCAGCTCGCCCTCGGGGGGGTCAAGTCGGACCGCCCTGTTCCTCCTTTCCCTGCTCTTGGTTTCAATCGCAACATCGACCCCGCCATCCTGCTCCTCCGCTCCAAGCTATCCACCGCCAAGGTTGCTGTGCTGGCCTCACTCTCTGTTTTGCTTTCTCGAGCCCGGCTGGAGCAGGACGACTTCGTCATCGAGGGCGGCCTTGTGTCCAACAAGTTCGTGTTGCGGGTCAAAGGCACTCGTGCCTACGCTGCCCACAAAGCCCAACAAGCCGTCGGAGTTCTTCGACGTGCTGCCGGAGAGTGGGGGCGCTTCCGTGTCGCAGCTCCCACTTTCAGGAGGAAAAAAAACACACAGACACAACTAATCCTCGATTCCCAGAACATATGGGAAAATATGGGAAGTGGGGGGGGGGAAGACAGAAACCCAGAAAATATTAGAACATTTAAGGGATCCTTTTATTTGTGTGTATTTATTTGTGTGTCCCAGGGCCCCTTCACACTTGTGAACAGCAGGAACTGTTCATCTCTCCCCATACGAACGCCGCCCAGATCAACCGCGAGATCGCACTCAAGAGAGTGCGCAAGATCCTGGAGCAGAAGCGCCCTGACCTCAGGTTCCACAGTGGCAAAGAAAAGGTGACATCTCATGCCAGTGGAAGCAGTTGGTTCGAGTTGATCCACAGCAGGGCGACGCGCCCCTTGTTCTCTCCTTCGTCATGGCCAACGTCCGCGAGTTCAACCTCGACAAGCAGGGCATCGTCGCAGGCGTCAAGGCACCCCGCACGGGCTCGGTGAAGGCTGAGTGGAGCCTTTAGCAGGCTCTTCGCAGGCTGGCTTGACAAGTCTGGCCGTCGCATCCCTCTCTCTCTCTCTCTCTCTCTTGCATATTGGAAAGCCCAAGCCCTCTTCCATTGGAAGCCTCACAAGCGCTCGCAGAAGCTGGCCTTGGCGAGGAAGCTGTCGCAGCCTGGCCCGCTAGTTGCTATCCAGGAATCTCATGGCAGCATAACTTTGCTACCACACCAACTCCTCGTTCTCATTCTCCCCCTCTTTCTGCGCCAACCCCGCCACCAGTGGCGTTGTCGCTATGTGCCCTAACTTCGACAAGTAAATGAAGTGGCCTCTTCAAGTTCAATCTAACACTATTGTTCGGGGTCGTGTCATCGAACTACTCGTGATCACAGATTCAGAGGATGGCTTGTTTTTCGTATTTCAATCTTCGCAGTCATGGTCTATCGCGCCTCGAGCGTGAATGCATCGCCGGTGCTATTCGTTGTCGCATTGCTGCTGCCACCTCTTCCCCCTCGCACTTGGCTCGGGATTATCGCTGGTGATCTTAACCTGGCCGACATGCCTCCCATGCGCCTGGGCGCAGACCACTCCATCGATGCTATAGGCATTATCACAGACTGGCGAGCCTCCAAGGACCCGGTTCTGAGCCCCATCCTAGCCAGTTTGACCGAGATTGACGCTCCTGACCCCACCCGCTACAACAAAGCGCTGGGCACCATTAACATTATTGATAGTATTTGTCTGAGCTTTTCTGGATTGATCTGCATCCAGCTGTTCTTCGGCGGCCAGGTGAGGAAGTCCCCCGAGGTCTCCCAGGTCGAGGGCCTCTTGGACCACGCGCCGCCGTCTGAATTTATTGCCGCGAGCCCTCCGACCCCGTCTGGAGAGAGACCTATCCCGAATACAATTGTTCAGCAGCACGAATACTCCGATTACCTGGAGAAGGTTTGGGCCCTGGGCAGCTCCCGCCGCCTCTCCCCCTCCAGGGCCGGGCGCGGACCATGTGTGGGGCAGCGCAGGTAGTTGGGGATGCCATAGTCGCGAAGCGCCTTGAGTCTCTTGCCTCTCGCCACCACATCATTAAAGGTATATGCGCAGCCGTTGGGAGACAAGATATCCGCCTGGCGCAGAGACTCCGAGCTGCGCGCGAACTGGCTCGACATCACCTCGAGGTGGACATCCCCGAGAAGTCATTCCGCTTGCTGCGTGTCATTGAATCTCTGCAGGCGTCGAACCAGGCCCACCGCAGCGCAGCTGAAGGCGAGCAGGCTGAAGCGCGGGCCAGCTTTCAGAGGGGGCCTCCAGCCGGCGCTGCCAAGGAGCTCCGACGCCGCCTGCGTGCTCTTGTCTCGCGAAGCCGTCCGTCTGCGGAACCCGTTCGACAGGCGCATTCGTTCGCGCGGCGCTCGGCGCGCCGACGGGGCTTGCTCGGAGCCGGGAAAAGTAACGCAGGCGGTCGCCTACCACTGGCCCAGCGTTTTCAATGGAAAGCAGATCGACACCGCGAGTGCCCAGAGGCATTTAGATCGATTTGGTGCCACTCCTGATCTCCGGGACCTTCCCCTCCCTACCCTGGGCCCCGCGCGGCTCTACCTCGGGCCCCTCGCCCACTCCGCCCCAGGGCCCGACGGGCCCCCCTTTGTTGCTCGGCAATGTCGCCCCAAATGCCCAGAGGTGCTCCATAGTTTGTTGTTTGGTGGGTCCTCTCTGGAGATACTCCGCCCATCGGCCTGCAAAACAAATTGCATCACCGCTGCAATCAGAGATGCGCCCCAAGCGAGGCTCCATCGGGCTGAAACGTACTGAGTACGAAAAACTGGCCGGTCTTGTCTGCCGATCCCCCGGCAGATCCCTGAACAAGTTCATCGTTAAAATACAGCGTGGATTTATAGCAGGAAGAAGTTAAAGCGTCTACCTCTTAAAGCTCGACACTTACTCGCGCATGCACAACGCTGACGCAGCCATCTCTCGCAAGCCCGTGCTCGTGAGGTTTGCTTGCGGCCAGGCCTTCCCGTCGACCGCCCATGAATGGCTGCTCCGATGTCTTCGGCGGCCCCGCCCCCCTGTGGCGCTCTTGCGCAGCCTCTCCTGTCTGCGCTCGCGCGCGCGATGCTTCATGCGCTGCGAGCCTTGCCTTTGCATTCATAATAGAGAGCGGCATCGTCCAGGACTGCCCCGCGCAGGGCGCGATCCGCGCGATCGCGGCGCATCCATTCCTCGTAGACATTGACCGCGAGCTGAACCCCGAGACCCGTGGACTCGCGCGGGCCTGTGCCAACGACGTCGCGGCAGCTCTACGCGCGCCCGGGCCTCCCCGCCGCCTGAGGAGACCATCCGATCTGAGTAGAACGCTTGCTGGCCTCACACTCAAAGTAGCTGCACGTTTTATCGCCCCTCTCAGTGGGACCCCCTCGCCAGAGGTCGCAGATTCCATCGAGGGATGGCTGGCGGGGAATATCCCAGATTGGTCCGCCTTCCAATTTGCCCCCCTGCCTGACTTACTTCAGTTTGGCCCTGGGACCAGGGGCCTCTGAAAGAGAGAGCTGGGGCGCCCCAGTTCTGACATGGCATGGTCGCGGCCGCGGCGTCGCCCGCGCTTGCCCCCCCCCCCCCCCCCACCACGGCAGTCTCCCAGTATCTGCATCGCACGCGAGCCGTGCCAACTCTTAGCGATGTCTCTCAGCTCATGCATCTCCCCGTCCGCGGTCCCTGGCCCCGCCTCCCCGTTGTCGACCAAGTCCTTATTGCTTCTATGTTCCGTGTTCCCCCTTGCTCCGTTCCCCGCGCTGGATGGTTCGCCCTCCGCGCCTGGGGCGGTCCTCATGTGCCTAGCATCATCATTCTCATGCGCGCCGCCATGCACACGTTGCCCGAATGGAGAGAATTGTACACGCTGCTCGCGAAGGCTGCTCGTGCGAACTTGTCTTTGCAGGATATGGGCGCTGCTCGCATGTCTCTCACATGGTGGCAGACTTCGCCGCTGGTCGAGAATCTCGCCCAAGCTGCTCAGGGCTTCCCATATTCGCCAACGTTCGCTGCCGCTGGCCGTTCCGCTCTCCTTCTTGCGCGTGAGGCCTCGCGCCCGCCCCCATCTCGGGAACGGTTTGCGCTCTTGGTTTCCCGATTGCGCTGAAGAAAATTCAGAGATCAACTGGGGCCTGGCCCGCGCCTGTCTGCGGGCGCTGCCTATCGGCTTCAGTCCAACCGTTCTAAAGACAGTTCCAGGATCTTGGCTCACTTCGATGCGTCTCCACGACGCTGCTTGTCATGGATGCATGATGGGCTGCGGCGGCCCTGATTCATTCCGTCACTAGTGGGCCTGGTGCCTCGCTTTCCAGAATGCTCGCGCGTTGATCATCCATTCCGTACCGTGTCTTGATTATCCCGTCTCCCGTCTTGGCCATCGCTGTCATTCCCATCGCTCTCTCGAGTCTGCTGCTGCTGGTCATCTTCTCTTCAATGCTGCTCGTGCCGCAATGCCAGCGCCCGATGTGCCCCATTGGGGCAGCGAAATTTGTCAGTCTTCAGCCACTCGTGCGAGCACAGCTCGCGAGGCTGCGGGCAACGGGCGGCGAGCGCGGATAGACGGCGGCGCGCCCTCGGCCATGCTCCAGGGGGAGGGGGGAGGGGGAGGAAGAGGAAGAGGAGGAGGAGGCGGAGGAGGAGGAAGAGGAGGGGGGGAGGGCGAGGAGGAGGAGGAAGAGGAGGAGGAGGAGGAGGACGAAGAGGAGGACGAGGAGGAGGAGGAGGAGGAGGAGGAGGAGGAGGATCGCGGGGCGCTGCCTCCTCAAACCGAAGACCCAATACCACAGGATGGCTGGGACGACAGAAAGGCCGTCCCCGGGGCAGGAGTCGCGGGCCCTTGTGCCCACGCCTCGAGGACCTCGCCGATATCAGTAGCACTGAGGGGGCGCCAGGCCTCGGCACTCACACGTGGGGCGCTCCGGAAAACATGAACGAACGGATCGAAGGATCGACCGAACTGCCATGCTTTCGAGGACTTGTAATCGAAGGATCGAGTGGGGATCGAGTCGGGGGATCGACTGGGGATCGAAGGATTCGGGCCCTGCCGTCGAGGATTGCAGGGACTGCCAGCTCTGCTCCGGCGGAAGGCGGCGGAATGTTGGTGGGGGGCGGCCTCTCCGTCCGAGCCCGCGTGCGCACCCGTCTGTGGGCCCACCGTTCGGAATATAGGTTTTGGCAAGCGCCGATTTCGGTTGAAGATTTCTTCGGCCCCTCACGACGCGTCCTTCCTTGGAGTTTCCTGGGCGCAGTGGTGCCAAAAAGGGGCGTTGGTGGAAGGCGGCGGAAGCAACGCGAGGCCGCCTCCCGCCGCAGGACGCCGGCGAAAGGTGCCGGATGTGAAATTTGCGCCCCCAAGAAATGACAGCAGTTGCGGGTTCAGGGCTTCCGGAGTCCGCCCTTTGGCATTGCGCTATGTCTCTTGGAAGCCTTGTTTCCCAGGACTTCCCGAGGCATCCGCGGCCTCGCAGGTCGGGGGGCAACGCGAGAGGAGTGAGAGGCGAGGCTTTCTGAAGTTGAACGACAGAACACGGGACGGATTGCGCAGACATTCGCGCGTTTCTACGTTATCTTGCGTAAGAGCCGCTTCTTTCTGCCGGTCACATGTTTACGCAATCAGAAGCCAAGCTCTGGTTCATCAAATGCTGTTCGTTCTGCTATGTTATTTTTCCCTTGGTTATACATTCCGCATCCCAAGTGTGGCATTATTGTTAACACAGTCGCGTATCCGCTCCCCTCCTTCCTCCTTCCGTCCGCTCCTTCCTTCCTCCAAGACAAGAGGCTCCTTGGAGTTCTGATAATGATCCAGATCCTGATCCTTTTCGCAGTTTTGTTGTTTGATTGAGGGGTTCTCCGACGCTTTTGGAAGCTCATAGGGGAACGTAGAGCCGTGCTGCTGGCAGCGGAGGCTCGCTAGACACGTCGCCGCCGTCGCCGTCCGCCAACGCCGTCGCCGTCGGGGTAGCCGTCGCCGTCGCCGTCGCCGCCGGCGCTGCCGCCG